CAGTTGCAGTTCAACACCCAAAACAGAAACTGAACCGAAGGACCAAACTACAAAGGGTATCTTCACGTCAGCCATCAAGACAAAATGGGAGACATTGAGCAACATCCCTGAAGAATCGAATGTGGAAGAACACTAGAACTCTTTGAAAGCTATGTAGAAAGAAACCTGCATAACCGTATTAGGAAGGAAGAAAAAGTGACAAGACAAGGAATGGATCTCAACGGACACATGGAAGCTGATGGAGCAGGCAGAGGAGGATGGTGAGGCAGAAGATAAACCAGTGCAATGATGCACAACGAGAAGAGGAACTGATTGCAATGTATAAAACACTACACTGGACAAAGAAGTGAAGAAGAGTGCACGCAAAGACAAGAGACACTTTTACGGCACATGGCAAGTGAAGCAGAACAGGCTGCCAGTTGGTAGGAGAGATAGAGACCTGACAACATTGTATCAAATAACCAGGTTACTTGCTGTCTGGGAAGAGATCAACTCAGACGGACCAATGAAATATGATGAAGGGAAGCTAGTTACCACCAAAGAGGAGAAACAAAGGAAACGATGGGCTGACTGACCACTTCAAGAAGCTCTTGAATCGACCATCACCTGCAACTCGTCCAGAAATACCACCTGCAGCCCAGCCGCTCAACTACAAGTGAACATAAATCCTCCAACAAAACCAGAAGTGAAGTCCTGAGTGCCATAAAGCTACTGAAATGCGCGAAAGCAGCAGGACCAGATGCAATCCTGACAGAAGCACTGGAAACAGACACCGAGACAACAGCGGACATGCTCACATCACACCACACCACACCACTATTGCAGAAGGTTTGGAAGGAAGGAGAGGTACCTGCTCATTGATTAGAAGAATGGCTACCTTGTCAAACTCCCGAAGAAGGGAGACCTAAGTCATTGCAAGAACTGGTGAGGAATCATGATCCACCGCTGTCCACCCCAAGCAAAATATTAGACCGCATCATCCTGGAGAGACTAAAGGATGCTCTGGATTCGAAAATACAATCGGAACAGGCTGGCTGATTTCAGTAAGAACCAATCATGTGTGGATCATATTGCAACGCTACACTATGCATCATCATAGAACAGAGTATAGAATAGCAGTCCACTCTCTACCTCAACTTCATCGACTTTGGAAAGGCCTTCGATAGCTTCCACCGAGAAGTAATCTGGAAACTGCTTCAGCACTACGGTTTTAGTGTCACAAACCTTTATCAACCTCATTCAACACTATAGCTATATGAGAGGCCACATGCCAGGTGATCCAAAATGGAAAGCTCAGCTCAGTGATGCGTATGAAGTAAAGACAGGAGTAAGACAATGTTGCCGCCTACTATCACCGATCATCTTCGTGATTGTGTCCGACTGGATCATGCAGCAAACTGTGAGAAGCGAGAAGATGGGCATACAGTGGCTGGACCGATGAAAAGAAGATAGAAGATTTTCATTTCGCCCATGATGTTGATTTATGTCTGATGTTAGTCATAAAACTCGAAGATCTACAAGTGAAAAGTAACAAGCTGACAGTAGAGGCAGGGTAGCGAAGGCGAAACTTCCTTCAGGTTAACGTAGATAAGACACAGGTGAAACAATTTACATGAGATTTGACAACTTTCCTATCCTCATCTCAAGAGGCTTCGGAGAGAAAAGATAAGGTTGTATAAGCGAAAGATCACCCTGGGGTTAAAAGGCTTAACTGTCTAATTAAGTCTGAAATACAACCTCTGAATACTATATAGAACAGGAAGTTCTTATCGTGTAAGAACCCTTCCAATATATGGAAATTATTTAAAGAGCTTACTGGTAAAAAACAGATGACAAAACAAACTTGTTTGGATGTCTGCGCGTTAAACAAGTCATTTATACGTCAGCAAGCTAATTTCACCCTTCCCAATGTAAAATCAAGTGGATAGCTGCTTTCTAGGTTTCAATACAAATGATGTATTTAAATGTCTAAAGTCTTTGAATCCCTCCCAAAGCTAAGGTCCTGATTGTGTTTCTAGTTTCATATTTAGAAAATGTGCAGATATTTTGTGTCATCTACTTACAGATATCTTCAATGTATCGTTCTCTAAAAATATAATACCCACTGCTTGGAAGCAGATAAAAATCGTACCTGTGCCTAAGCCATCTTCTGGATCAGATGTTACTTTTCGACCCATCGCTATAACTTTTCTGAAGACAATGGAGAAATTACTTCTGCTTGTGATTGAGCCTTCATTCATGGCCTTCAGAGATCCAAAACAGTTTGCTTACAAACACCGGAGGAGCACTTTAGATGCAGCTACTGTCTTGCATCATAATATTGTTTCTAGTCTCGACAAAGGTGTTAAGTATGTCCGTTATGCCTTTTTGGATTACTCATCAGCCTTTGACTCTGTTCCTAGACCACTTTTGTTAAATAAGCTTGCCATAGCTCACACTGATCCATGGGTTACAAAATGGCTGCATTCTTATTTTTCTGAAAGGAAACAGTACACTATTCATAAAGGATGCGCTCCACTTCATTGCTTACTGAAGCTGGTGTGCCTCAAGGTGCTGTACTTTCTCCTTTTCTGTTTTCCTTCTTTTTGCACGATTTGCCTTATTCTGTTGAAACTAATTTTATCAAGTATGCTGACGACCTGACGATTTCTATTCCAGTAAACTCTTCTTTGGATTGCTCGAAATTAAATGAATTCTTGTCTGAAGTTGGTAAATGGTCTCAAACTAAACCCCTCTAAATGTCAGACCGTTAATTTTAGCCTCAGGCGTAAACAAGACTTATGTGAGCTGCTTAAATCTCATGACGCCTGCTGCATCAATGGTATTTCTGCAGAAAGTAAATCGAGTGTGAACTATCTTGGGTTGCGTTTTACTTATGACCTTTGTTGGTCGTCCCATATTTTATTGACTTGTAAAAAAATCTTTCGTTTAACTTATTACGTAAAGAAATTGAGGCTTTTTGGTATAACTCAACTGCTTCTTTTACAATTTATTAATTCCTGCATTTTACCTATTCCTCTATATTATTCCCCACTAATCTTTCCTGGTATTCTTAAAAAGGACTATGTTATGTTGCGTAGGGCTTTCAAGGCCGTCAGCAGGGTGAGTGGTGTGTCTCTGACTCAAATGATTAACACTGTAGTTGATCGACATATAATTCCTGCAAGCTACTAGCTACAGAAATTTTAACTGACAGTGAGCATCCACTTCATTTACAGCTCTCTCCATGTATCTCCTCAGGGAGGACAAGGAGAAATTACATAAGACTGCATGCTCGTACAGCTAAGTTTAAGAATTCGACTGTACCTTACCTTATTTTGTGAGGAAAAAAGCGTTAGAACAGAAATCACACATCAACTTTGTGACAGTTAAAAATCTCATTTTAATAATTTAACTTACAATGCAAAATTTTCTCGTTTTTAATATTCTTCACATAAATTTTTATAATAAAACAATTCAAAAGGCTGTAAAGTAGTATGTATATACTTATATTTTGTTGTTATTGCAATATATATTGCGCTGAGAATTGTTTAGAATAAAGTGAATTATTATTGTGATGATGATGACACCCAACCAACACCACTACCACCAACAACAAGCTCCAATCACCAATCAACCGGATAAACTTAAAGGAAGTAGTCTCTTTCACCTACACCTACCTAAGCACCATCGTTTCAACTACAGGCAGCACAGACGAGGAGGTCAAAGCCAGCTAGGATCGGAAACACAGAAGATAGGCGTTCATTAACCTGAAACCAGTGTGGAGATCTTCCGCACTCAGCATAAAGCATCAACAAGATCCGGATTTTCAACACCAACATCAAGTCAGCACTTCTATATGGTTCAGAGACCTGGCGCGTTACGAAAAGCATTTCCAACAAACTACAGACATTCATCAACAGCTGCCTATGCTCGATACTGAAGATCAGAAGGCCAGAAAGAATAAGAAACAAGGAACTCTAGTGTGGCAAATAACCAACCAAGAACCCATCACTCAACAAATATGCAGAAGGAAGTGAGATGGATTGGCATACACTGAGAAGGCCGACTGGGAACATCACGCGCCAGGCACTCGAGTGGAATCCAAGTGGGAAACGACGAGTTGGGCGTCCGAGATGATGGTGACGTAGAGGAGATCATGTGAGAAAGAAATGAGAGCTTCTGGGCTGTCGTGGCGCCAGGTAGAAAAGACTGAGGAGAAGAGAGTGGAATGGAGACATGCTACTGAAGCCCTATGTTCCATTAGGAACCCAAGGAAAAATAATAATAATAAATTAGTCTGTGGTGTTGTTTTGAGGAATCTAGAAGAGAGATGAAGTTGTGAAATAAAATAAACTGGTTTCTCTCCACAAACTTTATTATTTTATATCAGTGTGACTAAATGAGATAACTGTGGGTCTAGTAGTTTGGTTGGGTCGCTAGCCAAAATCCTACTGCAATTCCGATTTTCATTTCCCCTTTCATCATCCCGTAGTATCTATTATTTTTTCAGCTGATCAAAGAAATTTTCAGTTATGAAAACAGTATTAGTGAGTTTCACTGACTGAAAGTATTTTTGAATCAGCTGAAACTCATCAAAAGCTTTTCCTAGTAATTTACATCAAGAAAATAAAACAAATCACCTGATCAATTTCCTGTAGCCTTTTTTAACCATTAAACAGTTTTATTAGTGAATTCAGAGTTATTCTGTAGCGTATGAAGTGGAATATTAGTTGTACAACTGTCCATCTTGTTTCAGAATTCTCCTCAAATGAAATGTATCATTGTATAATAAAGCTAACCTAATGACCTAATATAATGAAGCATTTACGATTTGTTTTTTCACTAAACACATATTTAACCTTGTAACATGTCCTCACTAATTAACCAATCAAATGAAAGTATTGATTCTTTCAGTCAAGGTTAGACTTCGTGATCGTAGAAATTTAGTGATAGGCAATTTTTTACAAGTTCATTTTATTTTGGGATCATTCTAACTGTGTACACTTGTGTATAACTGGATGTCTTTTTATAACTTCTTTAAACGATCGAAAAATAAATCAAACTGTGAACTAATCAAGAAGTCAAAGAAAACCCACCAATCAAATGTGAGTTTCTTTTACAAATAATATTATCTTGGTATAACATAGTGAAATGTAAACCTTTTGACTGCTATTAAGTTTCTTATGTCCTCCAAACTATCGTGTAAGCATCATCGGTTTTAGCATCGTATCTATTTAATAAACCTGGGATTAGACTTTGTGTCAAACTTTCAAGAAGAACTAGTATTGTTCCGAGTCTATTACGCAATTATGAACTGAAAAATTACGCATGAAAAGAAATGGTCAATTATACTGCTCAGAATTAGAATTATACGACAAACGATTTATCTTGTTCAGTTTGGAGGATTATGAGGATTTTATTGATTTCAAGTTCGTATTCATCATGCGCACTCCTGATGAGTCCCATACTAGGACGAAACATCTGTCCATTACTTGCAGGTTTTCAGTAGTTCTCCAACTCACGTTGGCCCATAATGAATACCAACCTGATTTATTTTGTATTTACTCAGCAGATATCAAATTTTCAGGTGAATGTTACTGATAAATAAATAAACAATAATGAGTCAACGGTTCGATAGATTATTATTCACGTTTATCACGTCTGTTATGTATCACCTTCTTTGTGTTTATGATAATTCGACATAGTGTGAAGAATGATTAAAAATCATGGAGTTGTAGACACTTATTTCGTCATAGTTTGCAGTTAACTTACATTGCATATCTTTGATCCTAGGCATAACAGTCATCTCTTGTATTTCTGTAGTTTTGGACAGGAAACTGTTAAAAAAATCAATCATGTGGGTGCTTTACTTTGACATCGTTCTTTTTTCTATATACTAACTCTTTGAATGTTGTTGTGAATTGTGGAAATATCAGCTTATACACCTTTTTATGAGATTTAACTATCTACGTGTTAAACCTTTAAACGAAATGTCACCTAAGTTAATGACAACTAGTAGTGTTTATCTGAGGTATATGGAATCCTTCATGAATTCTTCATTACTTACATACTGATAAGAGTTGCTCTGCTTATCAGTTTGATCGGCAACTGAAAGTTTCTAAGCTACCTACCTTACCGTATAATAAGCTTATGAGCCAGTTTATGCACAGCGATAGCTGAGCTTTTCTCCATATTACTTCTTCAGTAATGTTTATTATTCAATATTTTGTAAATTTTTGTGCTCCGATATCTTAACCGCATCCAATCAACTACCTTAACTTTTATACTTGACTCTACAATCATTGCATGATATTTGATAAATCAAGTTACATTACTTGATTGAATTTACTGGATCCTGTGTCTTACAATGAAGTATAAAAATATGCTGTACAACAGTATTTAATTCTCCCACTTACAATGAAACGGGACCTTTTGCACTCAGCTTATTGGGTGGTATTTAGGTTTCAGGCAAAAGTTTATGTGTAATAAGTGAGCTGAATATCTTACATTTGTAAAGAAAACGCTTACCATGTTGTTACTTGCATCATCGCGTCGCTGATTGGACTGAAATGATCGGTCTCCGTTGGCATATGGGCTCCTGTGCGGATGCCTTTATATTGCCTGTGTTTGAAGCGATTGGTCCCGATCCGAGTCCCGGTAGGAACAACACCACTCACCGGGAGGCAAGTACATCCAGCTGAGGAGTCCCAAATAGGACGAAATGCCTGTCTTGGATTCCAACGGCAGCTACTATCCATCATTTAAAAAAAATTACCATCCAACAGATTTTCCTTGGAGAATTTTACGTCAGGGGATTTAAGTTAGCCTGTTTGGTAGAACTAAAACTTTTCAGTACAGGAACAGAATTCAACTGATTCCACGCAAAGTAAGCCAGCAGAACCTCATGGATAACCAATATAATAGGATAGAGGTAGAAAAATATTGAGTAGAGCAACCAGAACACAAGCTAGTGTATTGAAATTGGAGTTAATCTCTTCAGAATTATCCCGACCTCGGATCATTCCAACTCATAAGAAAGGAGAAAAGTTTTCATGTGGTTACCATAGGCAAATCAGTTTGACCAATAACTTATCTAATATCTGACATTGTACAGTAGCTTGAAAATAGCAAACTGGATAAAACCAGATACGTTTCAAACCTGGAGGTGGGTGTGTCCATCAGATCTTCACATTTAAACAGGTTAATGAAGCGCTGAGCATAAATTTGCATGTTTTTGGCGTGCGTTTTGCACTTTTCTAGACTGCCCTGTACCGACATCTATTCCAGGTGTGGGAAGTAAAGTGGTTGAATGCATTGAATACTTTACTTACTTGTGAAGTCACATCATTCTAAATGGGTTGGTCGTTGACGAAATTCCATTTCTGATAAAAAGAGGTCCGTTTGGCATTTGTCAACTTGTATCACTTCTGGTAGAGACGAGAAATATAGTTGATTGTTAAAAGACAAATATACTGCGCTGCAGTTTCCACTGTTCCATAACACTATTATGAAACAGGAGTTCTGAAATTACAAGAAATCAAGAGATCACAGGCTTTTAACTATAGTTGCCTTCGTAGTGTCATTCATGTATGGCGTCTGGGTTAGACAAAGGGAACTAGGCAGGGAAGATAAGTCAACCGACTAAGTCGTGTGCCTTACTCAATGAGATGGCTTAAAGATGTGCTGCCTGTTCTGAGCTACCGCCTATCTCAACGTTTCATGTTAGCTGAACTAAGGTCAAGACGTGCCACTAGTCCATAACATCTGTGACATTGGTCTAAGCCATGAGGGTAGATGGAGGAAGAGCTTATGTGGCTCTGGCTATAAAAATGTAATGAACTGATAGTTAGCGATTCTTATCGATAGATGGTCTTAATGCCAAAGATGCATACAGTCCTTTTCATTATCATCGAAGTCTTAAATATTTTAATCAACCTTCACCTACTTCTTCTTGCTTCTGTTGTACACTTCGTCTACCCTAATGTCAATCTCTTTATCTTCACTTCTTTTGTGGATCCTACTAGAAAGTATGAGAAGTTGAACAGACGCACTTCTATACCACATTCTAGTCTGAATTTTCTATCTTGTCACTTCCAACTTTTATAAAATTGTCTTCAACAAGCAGTAGTAAATGATAAAATGAAGCTTGTTTGTTTTGCGTGTTAGCCTTTCATTTTCCTACTACATTAAAATTTGCTTACGATTAGTTTCCTTGCTTTAACAGTGTTGGTTTTATTTTATGATTAAACTTTCCTAATCTCTTATTACAATTTTACATCAGAATATGGAGTGTTTAGTCAGCTACTCATTTAAGTCTCAAAACTCTTTATTGAAAGCAAAATATGCAAATACTGTAAAATAATCATTCATGATCTGTGCATATCAACACAAATATGTTTATGGAAGCGAATACATTGGTTGTATAGGAAGTTGACTGTCTACTTATGTAGTATAGTACTAGCCTAAGTCGTTAGGTCGCTCTGTTGGGTTCTGTAATCAAACACCAACTAGACTTCAGGTATGATATAAGAGCTATCGAGTCATTTAAAGTGGTCAACAGACAACAGTATAAGAAACTGCTCGCCATCACAAAGGCTTTTGCACTGTAAGTTCACAAACCAAGCCTTTATGTTCAGGAAGATATGGTGATGACACTGAATTTGCCTCGGTAATGTTTTTAACGTATTGTGAATCTGCTAATTAATTTGTTTGTTAATTGTTATCCAGTGAGTGTAGATACGTTGAAGCCTGACAGTTGGTAAGAAGGGATTCACTGATCACTATTGAAAGAGGGTTAACACAGTACTCCGGCAGGAGTGTTCCTTTTCATGTGGTTGCGGTGGTAAAACATGTTTCCTGCTCAGTGAGAGGACAGACCCCCTGAGTTGACAGGATAACGTTCAAATAGACGATGGTCGACCTGGAACTGGGGGCTGACCTGAAAATTGAAGTACAACTCGCTATAAATGGTCACTGTTACTTGTTTATTTTTGTTTCCGTCTTATTCCCATATTCCTTACTAAATTGTTCCATTTGATAAGCACATGTATTACTAGTATTCATTTTTTAAGCCTTCATCTTCAACCATTATCCAGTATCGATACAAGTCTGCCAAACCATGGCTGTCTATGATACTCAAACTGATAAACCAAGATTAAAGTGCATTACATCATAGTGTATACATAACCAAGTGTGAAGAGGATGAAGCTGAAGAATTTCATCGAAATTTATGAAGTCATTAAATCTTGTTTTCCTTAGATTTGTCGGTTGTTTTAAATTTATTAAGGCGTTATATGTTTTTTAAGAAACGATGAATTCGAAGTTATTGTGATCGTAGGCCAAAAATAGCTAAGGAATCAAACAACGCCATGGTTATTCACATCTTGAGAATCTCATGCTAGAATGCAACATTTGTCTAGTGTTGCGTAGCCTTTTTTAGTGATTCTGTTGCTAGGATCCGTTAAATATATGCATAATTAGGTCACTTTTTAATATGTAATTCAGTGTGACCGGTGGGGCCAACCAAATCGGACATGAGGAAGGTTACTCGACGATGACATTGGAAGGATGTCGCGCTATATGATGAACTGACAGAAGTAAGAAATATGGACCTCTGGATTCCGACCCAGGGGTTCAATGGTAAAGTGTTGGTGACGGAACCTGAAGGTTCTTGGTTCAATCGCTGATGGGCCAGGGTGATGGGTATGCACTCCTGAGGAGTCCCATAGTGGAACGAAGCATTTGTCTAGTGCTCCCAGGTTTCTAATTTTTCTCCTACTGATTTCGGTCCATGATGAATATAAACCTTAAACCGATAGTAACCTGAATCTGATTATTGTTCTCAAGAGGATATATTCTGTTCAGTATTTTTCTGGATAAAAAAAACTTTTGCGTCTAGTATCAGCTTCTCCATCCTGAGAGATATTTATGGCCATAAATGTAAGTTGTGACTAAGTGGCCTAGTGCATAACGCTGTCGCGTTTAAGGCAATCTGTCCTGGGTTCAAGTCTTAGAGGGGACACCATCACTAACTGGAAAGAAGTTAAATCCGGTGGATGAGTTCTAAATCGAATGAAATGTGTGTCCTTGATTCCACTGCTAGGCT